TTCATCGACCCTCCACCTTACCATGCATGACCTCCTTCTCCAGGGAATGGTCCCTTCTGACAACATGACCAAAGTAGATGAGATGAAGTCTGGTCATTCTCCCTGCCAAGGAACATTCCAGCTGCACTTCCTCCAGGACAGCCCTGTTAGTTCTTTTAGCAGTCCATGGTACTTTCAGCATTTTTCTTCAGCACCACATCTCAAAATGATCAATTCTTCTTTGGTCTTCCTTATTCATTGTCCAGCTCTCACATGCATATGAGGCGATTGAAAATACCATGGCATGTGTCAGGCATACCTTAGTCCTCAAGGAGACATCTTCACTCCTCAGCACTTGAAAGAGGTCCTTTGCAGCCAACTTGCCCAGTGCTATATGCTGTCTGATGTCCTGACTGCTGCCTCCATTGGTGTAAATTGTAGAACCAAGCAATGTGAAGTCTTTGACAACTTCAATCTTTTCTCCATTCATCGTGATGTTGCTTACAGGTCCAGTGGTGAGAATTTTCATTTTCTTTATATTGAGATGTAATCCATACTGCAGATTGTAGGCTTCAATTTTCATCAGTAAGTGCTTCAAGTCATCCTCTCTTTCACCAAAGTTGTGTTGTCACCATATCACAGGTTGTTAATGAGCCTTCGTCCAATCCTGATGCCATGTTCTTCTTCATATGGTCCAGCTTCTCAGATTATTTGCTCAGCCTATAGGTTGAATAACTATGGTAACACACTCCCATCTTGATTTTAAACAGTGCAGTGTCTCCTTGTTCTGTTTGAATGACACTCTCCTAGTCTATGTACAAGTTCCTCATGAGTACAATTAAGTGTTCTGGAATTCCCATTCTTCTCAATGTTATCCACAATTTGTTATGATTCATACAATCAAAAGCTTTTGCATAGTCAATAAAACACAAGTAAACATCTTTCTGGTATTCTTTGCCTTGAGCCAAGATCCATCTGACATCAGCAATGATATCCCTTGTTCCACGTCCTCTTCTGAATCCATTGCACTTCTGGAAGTTCTCTGTTGATATAGTGCTGCAACTGTTTTTGAATTATCCTCAGTAAGATTTTACTTTTGTGTGATATTAATGATATTGTTTGATAATTTACACATTTTGTGGGATCACCTCTCTTTGGAATGGGTACAAATATGGATTTCTTCCAGTGAGTTGCCCAGGCAGCTGTCTTCCAAATCTCTTGACATAGCTGAGTGAGTGCCTCCAGTGGGGCATGCGTTTGTTGAAACATCTCAATGGGTATTCTGTCAATTCCTGGAGCTTTGTTCTTTGCCAATTCCTTCAGTGCAGCTTCTACTTGTTATTTCAGTACCATTGGTTCTTGATCATATATCAAATCCTGAAATGGATGAACATCGACCAGTTCTTTTTGGTACAGTGACTCCTTTTCTGTAAAGAAGCCTAGAAACAATCAGATCCCTTTCATTCAATTCTGGAAAAATCATGCCCAACTAAATAAACTGAAGAAATGCAAAACTGTGTAACATCATCATGAGTATCATTCCTCCTTCCTGTTCCTCTCTCCAACAATCCTATTAACAGCTTGGTAATACCTCATCAAACATTCTTCTGAACATTTACAAACCTAATAGTTTTCACAGAAATGAGTAAAACATTTACTTCACAGGCTGCTCTACTTTCTATTATCCTTCAACACTATTTCTTGAAGATCTTTCCATGTCTATTCATATAACTGTTGTTGTTGTTATGTGCCGTCGAGTCAAACTTGACTCATAGCGATCCCTCCTTGGGTTTCTGAGGCAGTATCACTATGGAAGTAGGATTGCCCAACCTTCCTTCTGAGGAGTGGCTGGTGGGTTTGAACCGCCAGCCGTCTGGTTAGCAGGCAAGTGTCTTGTCCACTATGCTACCAGAGCTCCCTTCATATAACTAGTACATTATTATTATTATTATTTTAAAAAGAATCTTTAACAGTGCTATTGAGGTATCATTTATGTGCCAAGAAATTTGCCTGTTTTAAGTGTACAATCCAGGGATTTTTAGTAAATATACAGAATTGTGCAGCCATCACCCCAATCCACATTTAAAATATTTGCATCATCCCTAAAAGAACTCTTGTGCCCATTTGCAGTCAATCTCTGTTCCCTTTACCAGCTACAGTCAGCCATGCCTTCAGTGTCAATATATTTGCCTCTTTGGACATTTCATATACATAGAATCGTACAATGTATGGTCTTCTATGTCTGGATTCTTCCACCTAGCATAATGTTTTTTGTCTCATTGTTTTTTAACCACCACATTCAATATGTTCCATGATATGGATGTACCATCATAATATATGTAACCAATTCCCTATTGATGAACAGTTAGGTTGTTTCTAAGCTTTGACTTTTACAAATAGTGCTGCAGTGAATATCTTGTATAGATTTGTTCACCTATGTGAGGATTTCTGTAGGATGGATTTCTGAAAGTGTAATTTCTGTATAAGACGGTGTGTGCATTAAAGTGGATGTGAACTATTTGTCTGTCTGTTTTGCCAGGCAGAACATCCCTGGTCCCTGTGGCAACTTGCATGTTTGGGAAATACATGTTCCCCTGCATTTTCCTCCTGCTGAATCAGAGGCCGTTCCAAAGGCTCAGCCAGAACAGTTGAATCATGCTTGATCCTGAGCTTAGCACAGTGCCTGGCACAGAGCAAGGGGCTATTGTCATTCAATTAGTTCTGTTTGCTGAATACAAGAGGAAAAGCACTTTCACAAGTTATGAGTGGCAGTGACCTGCCACCTGTAATCTTCCACCTTAGAATTTTGTTCCTATATCCCTGGAGAGGACTCCTTTCAAAGCCATGGCAGGGAAAATGGTTAGCTCCTTGATTTAGTGGTTAGATAGTTGTTAAAATGAGGGGTGAAAGGGATTGGAACTTGGTGAAAGGTTGGAAACTGTGAAGTTCCATTCTCTTCACTATCTTTTCTTAGCTGGCTAGTCAGAGAGAGTCTCTCCTGACAAAGACTCTTCCTAGACAAGCCCCATGAGTGAACCAGAGCAAAGCCTTCCGTGTGGTCACTGCTATGTCCTAAACCCCAGGAACAACAATCACTCAATATTGACTCAAATTCTTTTTTTCTCTGGTGACATATTACAAATAATGTCCCCATTCTGCACTAGAGCTCTTTTGTCAAACCCTGAATGATAGATGTATTTGTGTTTTAGGGGAAGAGAGGACAGATTGAAGGGAGACTGTAAGTAGGAGTTGCTGGTTGAACTCAGGAAAACTCTCTGCCTACTTGCTACCCAATCCAGTCGACACTCCTAACTACTATTTTACCCAAGGACACAAGAAATGCTAGATGATCCCAGAACATATTTCCTTTCATGATTTGTGGTCAGTAGCATGAGGCTTGGGCTTGAGATGAGGGGAGAGGAAAGGCTAGCCTCATCTCCACTTCAATTCATCTCTTTATGTACCCAATAAATAGCAAGGGGATTTATTTATTGTGAAGACCCTCATTTGAGACCTTTGCTAACCCTTGCCCAACCTCTCTGGAGCAGTTTGGATGCTTTTCGGTTACAAGTAACAAAATACTCATGTAAAAATGGCTTATATATGTATTAGTTTCATAGGGATACTATAATAAAATACCACAAACTAGTATAAGAACAGAAAATTATTGTCTCATAGATCTGGAGTCTGGAAGTCCAAGATCAAGGTGTCAACCACGTTGATTCTGTCTGAGACTCTGTAGGAGAATCTGTTCCATGTCTCTCTGTTAGTTTCTGGTAGCTCCAGGTGTTCCTTAGCTTCCAGCTGCAGCATCACATGGCTGCCTTCTCTGTGTTTTCATAAGGACACCAGTCATACAAGGTTAGGACACATTCGACTCCAGTATGACCTCATATTAACATAACTGATGACATCCTCAAAGACCCTGTTTCCACACAGGCTTACATTCACAGATATAAGGGTAAGGATTTCAACATAGCTTTTTTGGGGGATACAATTTACTCCATAAGAATAAAAAAGAAGACATTTAATTATCTCATTTAACAAGAAATTTTAAGTAGGTGGTTCCAGGATTGGCTTGCTGGTTCAAGTTTACTGTTTTTGGACCTAGGTTCTTTTTATCATTTGGTTCTATCCACTTAATGAGTTGGGCTTCTTGCTTCATTGTCAAAAAGTGATAGTCTCAGGATCACACAACATGTCCTATAACCATAATCAAAGGCTGGAGGCAAGGATGTGGCCAATTCAGTAAAAAACTCTCTTCATGGGTATGTCTCTCTCTTTCCATAATCCAGAAAGATTCTATGAACCTCCTAACCCTAGCAGACTTTCCCTTAAGCTGTGGTCTACTGGAACAAACTTGTACCTGCTCACAAGAGCAGATTATTGCATTTTTAGCAATTTTGTGAGCTCGTTGATAAACACAGCCACCCTTGAAATCAGTCATGGTGGGAATATTTACATTATGGAAAATGGCAAATGCTATAAACCATACTTGTTTTCCCTGGAGAGCAGTTTACCAGCATACTATTGCCCTGAAGTCTTATTAGTCGAAAGTGGACAATATGGCCACTCCTAGCTTAAGGAAGTCATAGAAGTGATTATCTGTCATTTTTACCTTCTCTGTGGGAGACAGGCTTTGTTTGCAAGGAAGAAAAGGGAGGAAAATGGCAGTCATGGAAGCAGTTAATGGTGTTTGCCATTAATGGTTTTCAAAGGTGGGAACTTCTTATAGTCACTTAAAAAATATGTTTAAAATGCCTCAAAAAACAGAGTGCTATGGGCCCAATAGTAGGATGGACTAATCTCTACTTTAGGGTATAAGATGGGGCACCAGGAACTGGTTTTCTGAACCATACAATGGGGGCCTGCTGTGGATGTGGCTTCAGATCCTTCCACTGATCACAACTGGGGCTGTCTTGACACAGAGAGAGTGAATAGCCATTGTACATATGAGGTTTAGAATGGGATGATGAATGGAAGGGAGGAAACCTGAAGGGTTAGAAGACAGGCAGGAGCTCTTAAAGGGTAGTAGAAGTGTTCCCTGAAGAAGAGCCAACAAAGGAAGGCCTGCCATCTTTGGCTAAGAAGTCCTTGCTGATCAGGCCATGGGTGGCCATGATCCTGAGGAGTCCATGTCGGAACTTCTGGCCAATGAAAGCATAGATGAGGGGGTTGAGGCAACTGTGGAGGAAGCCCAGAATCTCAGTGACAGCTAGGGCCCGGCCAATATCATTCCGGCGTTCACAGGACTCCTGGATCACACCAACCCTCATGAGAGTGTCTGTGACAAGAACCAGGTTGTAGGGCAGCCAGCAGAGCAGGAATACGAGCACGACAGCAAAGATGACCCTCATGGCCTTGTGCTTCTGCCCCATGTGGGCCTCAAACAGTGTGCGCAGGGTGAATCCATAGCAGAACAGCATGACCAGCAGTGGCAGGATGAAGCCAAAGGTCTGGGGCAGGATCCGGAGCACAAGCCTACATTTTGTTGTATTGTTACCAATATCCTCATAGCACACTGGGCCGGAATTGGGTGGGGTAAAGGCCTTGCGGAAGAGGAAGATGGGCAGGGACAGAAACAGAGACAATGCCCAGATGCCCAGACATATGAACTTGACCAAGTGGCGCTTCTGGATCAGTGTGCGTGTGGCATGGACAATGGCCAGGTAGCGATCCACACTGATGCAGGCCAGGAGCAGGATACCACTGTAGAAGTTGACTTCCTTCAGGAGCGAGACCACCTTGCATAGGGGTGTGCCGTAAGTCCAACCATTTTTCTTGGAGGCTGCCCAGATGGGCAATGTCAGGGCAAAGAGTAGGTCAGCCATGGCCAGGTTCAGCAGGTAGACATCTGTGACAGAGCGGCTGATTCGGTTGTATAAGATGACCAGCATCACCAGGGAGTTTCCCAGCAGGCTCAGCAGGAACACCAGGGCATAGATGGTGATAATAATATTCTTGTTGATTTCAAGGGATTCTGGCCGGCATGGGGCAGAATCTGACAGCACAGAAGGCATGCCAGTACTGTAACTGTAATTACTATCATCTCCAAAGATGTCATCAAAGCTGAAATTGTCCCAGTTAATTTCTCCCATTTTGAGGTGAACTTCAATCCTGGCCTGTAGAAGAGAGATGAAGGTTAAGACACAATAAAGTCCCTTCCAAATTCTAACCCTTCCCCTGACCTAGAACCTGGGCTAATTTGCTTTGGTTTGCATATAACAAGAAGTAACTTTCACTTCAAATATGCGAATAGCAAGGGCTCTAAAGTATGAGACACATTTGGTAATAAACATCACATTCCACCAAAAGACCACAGTTCCCTTTAAAATCAGGTGTTCTTAGCATTTTTCACGACATCATCATTATCCAAAACGTTGCTCAACCTCTTTGAAAAATCCCTACACAACGGGTTATCTTGGGTCCCTCAGTGGTGCACATCTTTGGTTGTTGAGGCTGAATGTAATGTCTAGACACATAAAATACCATTTGGTTCTCAATCTCGAGAGTTAAGGGAGTAATCTTTTGGGTTGTACCCCTAGGAAAAGAGCAAGCCTAGACTATACTAAAGCTGAGAGATGAACTCTTGTCCTACTTTCTGAAATTTCTGGAATACAGCTGGGGAGATGGCAGCATAGAGTATCCGATGCTTGAATTGGAAGAAAGTTTAGTGAGTGAACACAGCCCAGAGCTTTACAGGAAGAAGGAGGCCTGTTTGGAGAGTATTTGTATACCTTAAAAATACATGTGTTAAGAAAAAATTTTGGTGAATAGTGACTGGGATCTTAAAAGCTTACAAGCAGCCATCTAGATGCAACGATGGGTCTCTCCTTGTCCAGAGAAAAGAAGAATGAAGAAAACCAAAGATTCATAGAAATAATTAGTCCTCGTGACTGGTACACCATGCAATCCTCAGCCTATATGACTATGAGATCAGAAGAACTCGGTGGTGCCCAGCTACCACTGTCAACCACCCAGAGGGGGATCTAAGTAGGAGATCCTGGATAGAGAGGGAGAACAATGTGGAACAAAGCTCAAAATCATTTGGAAAAAAAAAAGGGGGACCAGGTTTTCTGGTCTGATGGAGCCTGGTGGAACCACTGAGACTATGGTCCCTAGTTGTCCTTCAGATCTGGAATTGAACCTACACCTGTGGCTTCCAGACAAACAAAAGACAGGCACATGAGTTGAACATGTACCTGAGGTAGATACACTCCTTGGAGAGAACAATCATGGGAGAAAGAAGGGCTGTTTATGCACAGGGAGACAGCTCAGGGGGCAGGAGTGCATGGAGGGATGGACACAGGGAAGAGGTGACTGTCGGGAGGAAGTGGGAGGGGAGCTGTTGCATTGGGCTAAATTGTAGTCAATGTCATGAGACAACGTGTGTGTGAATTACTGTATGGAAAGTGAATTTCATCTGTAAACTTTCACCCAAATCACAATAAAAACAAACAAACAAACAAATAAATATATGTCTTAAGAAAAATATATAAGCAGTTGGCTGATGAGCTCATGGGTGACAATGTAGCCGTTTATCTTGGAAGCTCTGAGAAGCCATATTCAATCACATAGGGGTGAGCAGAGAAAACCAGTGTGTCCCCAGTGTAAGGCAGAAGGGAAGCAGGAAGCAGAGACGATAGGTGGAGACACTGCCTTTGTTCCTGGTGGTTTCCAGTCCTGGTTGTGATCCTACCTGTCCTGCCTGTGTGCACCTTGATCCATCTCTGATCTCCCTCAATCATTACAAATAGACATCATTAGCCCCAGTTTACTAGCGAGAAGCCTGAGGGACAGAGATGCTCAGCAACCAGCCTGCTGTCACCAGACCAATAAGCGGAGTGGCCAGGATTCAGAGTGGATGTCAGTGGATCCACACGGTATATTATTTTCAGTATACACACAGCCCTACTTTTTTATTTTTTAATGACACTTCACATAGATTATTAAGTCAACCTGTGCATAGTTCACTCATATTGTTTTTAAAAAGTCTTGTGCATTACTTTCTTTGGCTATTCCTTAGAGCCAGCATTAAAGAATCAGTCCTTGTGGAATGGTAAACAAGCACCCTTGAGCTAGCTAATGCCTACTAACCACCCCACCATGTTCTCAATGACCAAGCTGGAGGTTCCCTGTTAAACAAACCTGCCAACCTCTTCGTGACACATGATAATTTAGATGATTCCTAATTTACTACATAAAAATACCATAGAACTGTGTATGGGAACTCTCTGTACATTCTGCACAATTATTGTATAAACATAAAATGCTCTATAAAATAAAACTATAGAACACGGACTTTGACAAGATCCCAAACATTTAAGGCAATCTTTTCCAAAAGAAGAAAAAATTCAGCCAGTCATTTCAACACAATTCCAAGATTCTTTATAAATATAATCCACAAATATTTGCATTGAATACAGAGAGGGGGACTCCTCAGATCCCCTAGCCAAAGCAGGAGAGAGCTGGCTGAACCTGGGAGGCTATAGGGCCAAGGGAAAGGGGTGGTCAGCAAGTTGTCCTAAGTGGTTGTTGGAGTGGGGTATAGTGAAGAGGGGTAGAGGTTCTCCCTTTGGGGGTAGGAAGGCCTAAAGAGTGGGAATAAAGAGACTGATGGGTGTGGAGGGGTAGATGCCTGGGATAAAGACAGGCTGGGTGTCAAAGGGAGCAGAGAACAGAGACAATCTGGGATGGTAGGAGGTGGTGGGTATTCAAGACTTACCAGGATGCTGGGCTTTCCACCTGTATGACACCTCCAGGAGGGCAGATGTGACCAATGAAAGGGCGGTGGTGCTGTGAAAACAGGAGAGGAAGTGAAGTGTTGGATTAGGTTGCTCAATCCAGGGGTGGAGTTCCTGAGGGTGCAGGGTTACTTATGATAACTCTGAATAATTAATTCCCCGATCAACTCCGATAGATAGTGATTTTACGGACTCACACAGTTCATAATGAGGAGGGACTGTGGGGTTTTCTAACCAATCCTCCCATTTCATAGATGAGGAAACTGAGGCCCACACAAAGGAAATGGTTGGCCTAGGACTGCAGTAATTTGTCTCATTTTTGCCTTAATCTTTGTCTTCTTCAGCTGAGCCATCTGACACTTCCCACTCAAACTGCCTCAGGTTATGCAATACCCTTTTCTTTAAATGCTGTCTTGGTACAGTTTGGAGGCCATGACTTGGAGTTCCCCTTACTAAGCAGCTGTTTAGTTCATTCCTCTTATCAGGTGTTCACACTCCTAAACCAGTGCACACCTGTCTTGATTGCCCTGGAGCCAGGTAACCAGCAACTAGGGAAAACCTGTATGCTCACTTAGCCTGCAGAGTTACTCAAAATGCCCAGTTCCTTCCTAGGAAGCCTAGACAACCTAGCTAACCCTAACCTGCTTGCTGTCCTCAAGCCCTCTCTTACAATTGCCACTTGTCACCTTGTCCCTAGGAACAACACCCTGTGTGGCCCTGCGTCATGGCAGGCCGTGTCTCCCCATCTCTAGGAACTGAGAGTATACAGGCCTTGTTCCTTTTCAGGACTTCTCTGGCTCCTCTCTCCCTCATTGTACCTAACTTACTGTCTTGGTTCTCTAGTGCTGCTCTAACAGAAATAACGTAAGTGGATAGCCTTTAAAATAGGAATTTATTCTCCTATAGTTTAGGAGTGTAGAAGTCTAAATTCAGAGTGCCAGCTCTGGAGGCTGGGTGAAGGTCCCTTGACCTTGGGCTTCATCTATGTCTCTTATTCAAAGCCCACTGGAGCTAGAGACATCTTCTAACTCAGAGAGTTGCTGCCTGGTGAGGCTGACGAACCTAAGGTCAGCAGGTAAATTGGCACAATCCCAAGATCAGTAGGCAATGTGGCAGGCTGCTGGTTCAAGTCCAGGAACTGGAGATGGAGACTTGGCCAAATGCAGGATCCAGCTGTGCCAAAAAGCTAGAGACCTTTCTCAAAGCTCTTTCTTAAATACTAGAAGCAGGCCACACCCCGAAGGAAACCCCCTTTCCACTGATTAATGTCTCACAGCAGATTCCCCGTGGAAATGATTACACCCCATCAATGAATTCATGGGGAAAAACTCCATCCAGCTGCTATGCCACTCAAAATCATGGCCCAGTCAAATTGACACACAATCTAAATTACCACATTTACCATCCCATGAATCTGTTAGAGTGGGCTTCCCAGGTGCTTACCAGTCAGCAGTGCTGTTGCTCTTTAACTTCTTTCACATCTCAAAGGGGGACAGCTCAGTAAGAGAATAGAGATGGAACTTCGGCTGCTGGTGAGTCTGGTAGTTTTCCTCCCTGGATGTACTGCCATTCATCTTCCATTTGCCCCTTACCATCCCTCAGAGCCTCAGAGCCTCACAGACTCCTTCTCCCTGCCACATCCCTGAGTGGGGCCCATTCCTGCTTTGCCTTGTCTTTCACCTCATTCCCCAACCATCTGCTCTATCAGGGCTCCTGTTAGAACATTGCTGTTCTTTCTTGGTGTACACACTGGAGTTGGTTTGCAGGACCAGAACACTGCAGCAGTCACCAGCCTTGATCAAACACCACTTAGTTAGAAAGAAAACTATTGACCAAAGTCAGAATCCAACCCAAAATTAAACACATTTATGAAAACAGTGTTGAGCAATACTAAGAATATATTTTATTACATTTGCTATTGATTATAAATGACAAGGAACCCTGGTGGTCCAGTTAAGCACTTGGCTGCTAACTGAAAAGTCTGAGGTTTGGGTTCATGAGCTGCTCTGGGAGAAAGATATAGCAGTCTGCCTCTGTGAAGATTACAGCTTTGGAAACCCTAAGTGACAGGTTTTCTCTGTCCCATAGTGTTGCAATGAGTCAGAATTGACTCCATGGCAATGGGTTTTGATAAATGAAAGGTAGAGCACTAATTCACACCAATTCACCAGCCCTCCCAGCCTCCTATCTTGGCTAACAATATCTCATTCTCTTCCTCTATTCCTCACCCTACCCTCTTGCTCAGTGTATCCCAGGGCCCAGAGAGTCCTCGAAGACTATGTTAAACTCACTTAAGCCCCTACCCCAAGGAAAGAAACTCTGAGTCCAACTGTTCAGCAAACATAGCTCAGTGT